GCAGCTTGTCGAGACCTTTGAGGCCAAGGCATCAAAAAGGACGGGTTCCACATCTCCGGCCGCCTCAACTGGCGCGCCCGCTGCAAAGACATTTTTCCCAGGAAAGGTGAAGCCTCCGCCACCAAATGTGGCCCAACTTGCCGGTATGCCTGGATATGCAAGCAGCAGACTGTTGCCCCCTCCTCCAAAGGGTGAAGCTCCAAAACCTCCTGCAGCAAAGGTTGAAGGACCAAAGACACCGCCAAAGACACCTCCAAAATCATCACCAAAGGAAGGGACTTCTGCACCTCATGCACCAGAAGTTCCAAAAGCTGTGACCTCAGAAGTTGATGCAGCGGCAAAGGATGAACCTGCAAAGAAGAAGGCAGCCCTGACAAGCGTGCCCGCAGCTGTGCCTGCGGCATCATCGGCTGCGGCCTTCTTGGAGCCTGTTCCAAAAGTTGCACCACCAAAGGCAGTGCAGAAAGATCCAAAAGCTCCAGTTGCAGAGTCACCCAAAAAGACGCCAGCAGCAACATCAAAGTCACTGGTGCCAAAGCAGAAGTCTCGCCCTAAAGGCGATGACCAACCTTCGAAGAAAGAGGTGAAGAAGGAGGACAAGAAGCCGGTGCCGGTCAAGATCGAAGTCACGCAATGCTCAAGATGTTTTGCACAGACTTTCAAGGGACAGATTGAATGCGATGTGTGTGGATTGATGCTCGAAGGGATCAACAAGGCCGACCGAACCAAGATTGCAGAACGAAGGAAGGCCGCCCTTCACAAGCTGGGCTTGTACTATGATTTTCGTGGTGAGTACCTGCAGAGCATCACACATGATCAGCTTGAATCTTTGGGTTTGTTGGACGACCAGGCAAGGGGAAGCTCAAGTCCGGAAGCCAATTTGTTGGCAAGGGCGAAGAGTCGTTTCGACCGTGCCTTGAGCTTAGGCTATGTGTCTGTGGCTGACAGGTTTGCCCAAGACGCCACATTCGCAGAGAGCGTGTTGAACGAGGGGGAGAACGAGTACGATTGTGAAAGGTACGACCTCCTCAAGTCTGCACATTTGCCAAAGCCGGGTCGCACCAAAGCTCAGGTCAAGATGGGTATTTCTGAGCAATCTCAGCTTGAGCACAACGCGATGAGGCTGGTTTACTTGGATTTGGCAAGCCGCCTTGATGTCCCAAAATCATTCAGGTACATTGACCAGCCATGGTTCTACATGTACCGAACCGAGATCTACTCCGAAGAAGAGTACATTGACTACCTCAGCAGGAATCCTGGACACAATCTTTTGTTGTCTTGCACTGGTGTTGACAACATTGCTGTTCATGATGCTGAACGTCATTTGAGGTGGATTAAGGGACAAAATGAAGAGCTGTACAAGCAGAACGCAGCAGAGAAGAAGAAACAGTCTGACAGGGCCCGCGAACAAAACGAGGCCAAGCGCAAAGCTGAGCAGACTGGAGCGTACGGCCAAGGTCCCTCCAAGAAAGGCACCGCCAAACCGGTTGCCCGACCATCCACAAGCGTAGAGGTAGCTTCATCATCCACGTCTGCAAGTCAGTGGCTCAACCGCCCTCAGCAAAGTCATTCCCACGATGATCGCCGTTACACTGGAGAGTGGCAGAAATGGCATGGACGCTGGTATGAGAAAGTCATCAGGCATGGTCGAGTTGAGTGGGAAGAGGGATAAGTTGTGACACTGCTTGCATTGACGATCGGTTTTTGTATCATAGCCGCCGAGTGTGTTTTCCCTTGGGTTTGCAAAGAGCAGGTTCGGTGAGGCAGGTCTTAAAGACCTCGCCCTGGTAAATGAGGCATCCTCGCCGTACCGGCTCACCTGAGGGGGGTGTAAATGCACCTCACATAAAACACACATGTAGTATAGTCATGTATGACAGCATTGCGGCCCGAGTCAAAAGAGAAGTTCGGGTTGCTAGCTTAGCGGTTGTATTTGTCCCTTTTAGGTTTATCAGTCTATTTGGGTATAACATAGTTTACCCCGCTGAAACCTGAAAATACAGTTGCAAGATCGCGCGTTCTGTAACTTTTTTGAAGAAAAAACTGTGTCTCATGGGTTTGTATATATATATATAGATAGAATTATGTGTATTGATTTGTCAATTTATTAATCCATCTATTTTTGTGGAGATATATGTGTGTGTGTATATATATATAAACATATGCATGGGCAATGGAAGCTATTCCTGGTTGCTGCAAAAGGCCAGGGGTTCCCTACCTCGCGTTCCATTCCTTGACCCTGTTCTTATGACTGAACTTGTTGTCCAATGCCACACTATTTACTGATGCTTGGTAGGGAATGAGGGAACGGGATGATTGTTGATAGCTACTATGGATCATTCCCTCGTTCCCTACGAAGCAAGTTTGACGTACCTTGTTGTTTCAGGCGGACCAAACTCTTTTTGAACCTGAAACAGTATGTCTACGCGAAGACTCGCTTTTCCTACTACTCTGCATGTGCACAAATAAAAGCCGTTGTTCATACACAGTACACGAGCACATAATTTATGAATAAGTTCATTCACTGGGAGGGCCGGTATGGTCTAGTGGATAAGACGCATCCCTCATTCGTCAGACCCGGCTTCAATACCCGGGTGCAACACTAGGCGGACAGGCGGGCCACTACCCCACCCCTGCAGTTAAGGGGATGAGCTAGGGTGTGGTCCGCAAAACATTCACACACTCATTCACTGGTGTTTTTGACAGTTGATACAGGTCCTTCCGTGGCAAGTACTACTTATGTGTATATATATATATATACATATGCATATACATATACATATACCTATACCTATACATATACATGTACATGTACACATACACATACACATATAATATCAATATCAATATCAATATACATATACATATACATATACATATACATATACATATACATATACATACATATATATATATATATGTAGATGTATACTTATATTTGTTTGTTTCAATGTTCAAAAGTCAGAAAACAACATACCACCAGGTTTGAAGAACCGTTGCACCGATTCAGCACGGTCATGGCCGCATACCAAGGTCAAGGCTACCGGACACCGCATCGACCTCAGAAAAAAATGATGGTAGCACTGGTGAGGCACTCCAGTAAAGATGGTAGGGTGCCCACATCACTAGAAACGGATGATGGTAGCATTGAGATGATCCACTCAATCATTTTCGAAGTGAAAAAATTGGGATGATGCAAGTGGTAAATCTCGATAGTACATGTCTGCCTTTCTGGGGACAGATTGCTTTCACTTTTCACCATCAAATGGTGGGAAATGATTTCTCCTTGTGGAGTGGTTGGTTTCCTCGGGTTGAGACTATTTCCATGGCTCTTCTTTAGGGGTCGAAATTAATATACCTGGGTAGTTCAAGGTCCATTGTTCTTATCCATTTTCTTCAGTGGTTGGATGTTCACCAGAGCGGCGGGGTCGTTTAGGATAAGATCCACTCGTGCCATTTCAATCAAGGTTTCAGCAAAAGAGACCCAAATTTATTGTTGACCTTTCCTTGACCATTCCTTTCCAGCCAACAATTTGGAAAGAACCAGCTGAATCAGCTGATAAAGGTTGGTTAGACAACTGTTTCAACACCCATGAGCGTCAGGTGCATTCAAGTCACCGTGCATCCAATCTCATCACTTTTTGGCAAGAGCCCTGATATGGGGCATTTGCAAACTCACCACCAAACTCGGGACCCAAAACGACATGCTGGCATGGTCAAGTGTCAAGACTGCGGGGGGGTTCTCAAAAATCAAAGCAGTGGCAAGAGTTGACAAATTTTGTTTTTGGATTTGTTTATGTTCAGGCATCCACATTGTCACATGGCAGTTCTAAAAATTCAGTTTGATCTTTTGAGCTAGCAATCAAGAAAACAAGTCGTCCAAACAAGGCTATAATTTCTGCTGGGGATGCAATCCAATTTTAAACATCAGTGTTTCTGCGCCGCGTCTTTGGCAACGCAAATTGCACTTTTCAATCTGACAACTCTCTTTCATCTTTGGATGTCAGAATGCGCATATAACGTTCATATTCACCGTCCATTAATGTTGCCATCACTGCAGGAGGCTTTATGAAATTATCGTTCGAAACTCTCTGAATTCAAGGCGAACCAGCGCACAGTGCTGCCAGGAATTGCCTGAGAGGTGCCGCTGTTGCGGAATGAAGTTGAGAGGAAATATACACAAAAACGACCTTGGTTCCGCGACCAACCGTGAACACACTCAGCGGTGTGATTCAAACCACCAAAAGTGGTTGTTTTCAATTCTTAATTGTTCCTGTCATGGGTGTTGGTGTCACAAGGCAAACACTGCCGTCAAGGATGCCGATCGTAAAATGGTTTTGTTCAATGGATGCCTCATTACCATGTCCCAACACCACCCTGGGGCCCACACGTCTGGGCCGTCAAAGCATCATGAGGCGCCTAAAGCAAGCAGGCACACTGTAGTCAGAAGCAAATTTGCACCAAATCTGCTGATTTTTTCTTGTCCAAATGAGTAAGTACCAATACAGACACTAAAAGTATGTAAAAGTATGGCCAAATCTTTCCGCACGCATGGCAAGGAACGAACTGAGTGGTCTCGCCTTTTCCTGCGCCTTTGCACGCATGCTATTTGCCAGAATGTTTTTCCGAACCGAGTGTGAGTTGAATGAGTTGCAAAAGTGTCCCATGTCTGTGTCAAACATCAGTAGGGTTGCTAGCACAATGAAAAATCCACGGTTTTAAATTCTGCTGTGACGACCCTCGCTTGCAATGAGACCTTTTTTTTCCAAAGGGGTGTGCAAGGCTGGTCCATCGCCAGGCTTTGGGCTTGGCACACCCCCAACCACCTGACAAGGTATCAGGGTGGCTGAGGGTGGGCGTGAAAAATTTCCACAAAGAAAGAAACATGTAACATGCTAAAGTTGCGACCATTGTCATTGACATTGTTTCACATTGAAAAGTTTGACATTCAAACCTGTAAGCCAGAGCTCGGTTGATTCACAGCAGTTCATCACCTCACATCAGAATTTAGTTCGCTTGCCGTTGTCTTGCTTACTTAAATTCTGCTGTGACGACCCTCGCTTGCAATGAGACCTTCTTTTTTCCAAAGGGGTGTGCAAGGCTGGTCCATCGCCTCCCCCTTTTGCAACATTGCCAGGCTTGCATACAATGTTCGACCAAATATCTGAACAGCCAATACGGTCTCGCAAGCATCCACAGTTCATTAGAAGATCTACTTGAAGACGCGAAGGGTCATCTGCAATATTGGACTCTGTTGGCACACGGGTGATCCAGGAGTTGCATTCGGCATCATTCTCAGCTTCGAGGATAGCATCAAGTATTGGAAGAGAATTTGCGCTGCTAGTGTGGCAAGCGATGAATGCATCCCTGACAGCATCATTGTCAGTATGGATCACTACGTTGCACTGATGAATGAAATCCTTCCAAACAATCATGGCACAAAGCACAGAGAAAAATTCGCATTCGTAGATTATCGTCTTCCTTTGAGACACATTGATTTCACGCAAAAGGTCAGGTGATAGCTGTTCTGAAAAGAAGCGGCGCCTGCAACCAAACTGGTCCACCAAGACCCCACCAACGCCAGAGAAAGGTTCCGCCTCATGTGGTTCATGTGAAGCGTCGGTGAAGATAAACCAAGTTGTCGTGGCCTTCGATGAAATCATCCTCGGCACACCATTGACCAGCATGTCTCTGAAGCGAGACAGGGCATGTATTGCAGCCTCAGCCAATGTTGATGACTCAGAGCCATAGGCATGCTGCGTTACCACTGCAAGGCACCGCCGGGCTAGACGCCCATAAAACTGACCAGAGGCAAATTGCATCCGTCCTCGCAATCTAAGGGCTTCAAGCTTTGCAAGGGATCTTGACGTCACAGCCTGATCCAATGCCTGGGCCAGCTCATCTCTTCTGTTCGCGGTGTTCGAGACGCTAACCGATCCTTGATGCAACTTCGACACATCAAACTGTACTCCAAGAGCCACAAGACTGCTGCTGAAAGGTGGCGCCTTCGGTCCATCCTCAGCAAACCTCCAACCCAACAATCTGAAGACGGCCTTCACAGTAAAGTCCACTGATGCGGCTTCACGGAGATCAGCAACGGACACAAAATCGTCAAAATAATTGGTGGTTATCACCCAGAAGACTGATGTCAAGATGGCCCACAAGCTGCGCGCTATTCGAAGGAAGCTGTGGACAGATTTGACGCTTCCAAACGGGAGTGCCTTGAGGCGAAAGGCCTTCAATGAAGATGTGTGGGGATCTCCAACAACAATGTACGAAAACTGCCTGGAGTCAGGATGGACTGCACACTGCCTGTATGCGCTCCTCAGATCAAAGCTCCGCGACACCCAGGCGTGATCGCCTTCGGCGTAGCCCATCACTGTGCTGATCATCGCTGCCACCACGTCAAGCGTGTGAGGTTTTGGGGATTCCCTCGGTTGAGATGCAGCGTTTATCCCAGACCAGGAAAAATCATCCACACACCTTATCTTTCCATTCTGCTTGACCCCAAAGCGCCTGCTGAGTGGAAAGTCCGAAGGCACCTCGCTCAGATCGAAGGGCCCTTCGGCTTCGCCACGAATGACTTCCTGCAATGTCTGATCCCAAACTGAGTGCGCGATCTCGGAGTCAAAGAAAACTACCTGAACAAATGAAATACCGTCCCGCTGCAACCTTGCTTGGGCATGCAACTCGCCCTCAGTCATGGTGGCAGGGGTGACCTTCGATGGCCACAGGTTTGTTAGGTCTGTCTGTCCTGTCAACCTGGAGCCAGCGCAGAACTCATCGACAACACCCATATCGCTGTAGTTGATGGACTGTAGCATTTCTTTCCAGACAAGGATCCTCTTGCCTTGCAGGACTTCAGCAACTCCAGGTTCCAAGGTCCGCATCAGCTCTTCCTCTTGATGTTTGAGCTGAATCGACCTTCGCAGCCAGTGCTTCAGGGCTTGGGCCCTGTGAGCCATGCGCTGTGAGCATGACTTCGTCAGAGACTTCTCAATGCAGTCCCGCAACAACGGTGGCAGAAAAGAGTGCAGCTTCGCTGGGTGACCGGCAACAACTGCCCTGTCAACAAACTCATCCGGTGTCCAAGGAGTCCCCCAAACCTGAAGCTGCCAATCCTCAGTGGCACCTGAGTCTCCCTCATTCAATGTCAGGGTCTGCAGAAATTCGCCTGTGAAAGCGGCTGCAACATTGTTACCAAAATTGTCAAAAAGCGTCGAAAAATTATTGTCAGAAAAAGCGGCATTGCATTCAGATTTCCCTGCATCTCGTTCAACATGTCCAGCATTATATTCAAATGAAGAATTCTCTGCATTTGTAACATTGCTTGTCAATTTTTCACAACTGATTGAAAATTGGCCTTCAGAAAATTGGCCGTCAGAAAATTCAGCATTGCATCCATGAACTCGCCCTGGTCCACCAGTTTCCTCGATGCTCAGTCCCCCTTTGCTATGAGAGGAAACGTGTTCAACCGCAAGAAGTCGAGACCCTTTGGGTAGCCATTGCTTGGGCTGTTGTACAAGCAAAACATCAGTTTTGGTTCGTTGCAAAACAGAAAACTTCGGCAAAATGGACTTGGGTCCTTGAATTTTAAAACGTTGCTTGTATGTACGTACCAATGGTGGCATTCTCGATGATCTCGCTTGATATCCAACGGAAGCTCTCATCTTCTGCAATGCCTGCAAAGAGCATGGCTGCACCTGTTCCAGTGTGTCCGGCAAGGGATGGATACCACATCGGAGCAGCACACGTGTGAAAACAACGGCAATCAAGCGTGCCAGTCCCATTGGATAGGCTGTTTCATCAGCCGTTGAAAACCCATTGGTTGCATTCAGTCCCCATTGGGCGTGCTTATGCCGGCTACTTTGTCCTGGGCACATTGCCGACACAGCCAAAAATTCATCGGCATTGAAAGCCAACATTGTTTTCTTTTTCCGCAAACCACCGTATTGACATGAATGAAAAACTGAATACATGGCCAGGTGCGCAACTTCTGTCCAAAAAGTTGTAGCCCAAAATAGACTGAACTGAGGGTTCTCAACAACAAAAATCACACCAAACTCAACAGCCCATTTGACTAGCTTCGCAGTTAAATGATACAGCTGATTGGCCAGAGATACTCGGCTCAGTTCCGAAGGGTTCAGATTTGGAATTCCGTTTGGAAACTGATCTGTACGTAATGGTCGCGGTCCATATCTCCTGCCGCCGAATTTCCTTTTTAACGGGATTTGACGTGCTCTTGAAGCAGATCCGCAAGGAGGAGCAAGAAAAATTCCGACCACGTTAGGCATGCTTAGCCAGCTCATCAAAAGTTCCTCCCCTTCGGGAGTCGTCAAATCAGCGATGATAACTGTAGACATAGCGTTCTTTGAACGAACTTTGTCAACGCCAAAGCTGCTTTTGAGGCCTAGCTGTTTCAACGAGGCCGTGACACGTGATGAACCTGCAAAGATCTCCACTATGAGGCAATCTTCCAAACTAGCGCCTTTGCTTGCCAGGTCAAAGACGCGTTCTAACCGTCAAGGCTTCTGGTTCTTGTCATGGTCAAGGAAACTGTGAGGAGCATGGCAACCCTTCTTCATACACAAGTGCCATCCACGATTACATTCGGCTCCATGTGCAGCGTCCTGGCACTTGTTGAGGTTAAAGTTGAAACACAGCCTTCGATTGTGATCATCCGTTCCAACGCAGCCCTTGTTCTGCAGCTCGGCCGGCAAGATGTTTGCCACCTTTTTCCCTTTTCCTTTGCCTTTTCCTTTTCCTTTGGAGCCCTTGTGATAAGGCTGACCTGCACGTGACTGCCAATTCGATGGCTGACTTGGCTGTCCAGAAGCAGAGGGCTGCTGGGGTTTGGCTTCAGCCGTTTTGGCCTTCGGCAGTGGCATCAAGTGAAAACCCACTTCGTAGGATTGCAAAGCATTCATGATCTCTGTGTCCATCTCAAGAGTGTCATCCGGTTTTCTTCTAACATCCACATCCTTTCGGATCAAAGCGAGAAAAACCTGTCGGTCAGCCCGGAGAAGCTGTTGCAGTGTCGTCTTCACATATCCATCGGGCGCCTCGGTCCGCAGGTGGTTGAAGAGGGATTGGAGGTAGCGCTCATGAACATCCCAAGATAGTGCATCGATAAATGCAAATGCTACCCCACGTCTTTTCAGGGCTTCAAGCACCTGGAGCTCCGTGCTCGCAGCTTGGTCGGGGACCTTGGCCTCCTCCTTGACCAGCAGCTTGTCAGCGTCAACATGCAGCTGCTTCGATGACTTGGAGTATAATACCTCATGTTCACGACTGGTAAGTTTTGCAATCTCTATGTACTGCAATTGCTTGGTCTCCCACATCTGAGCCACAAGGTTCAAAAGGGCATGCGAGGGCTCCAGCTGATGCTCAAGCAAGACGCCAGGCAGCCTGGCTCTCAGTTGTCTCATTTTTGCTTCCCTCTCCACTGGCGGCAGCTTTCGAGTCATTTGCATCTCGGGGTTCGAAACCTGCTCGCGCAACTGAGCCATGACCAACGTTTGGGCCTCAAACAGCAAACGCCTGAGGGAGCTCACGTCTTGCATTGTGGCCATCGCGCCCAACACATTGGTTGCAAACCTTGTAAATTCCAATTCTGGCACCGGCATCCCTGGCTGGCCAACACCAAATGCAAGCCGGCCAAGCGTGGAGTATCCTGCACCAAAAGTGGCCTGCTTTCCACGGTCACTGAGGCCCACCTCATCACATCTCTTCTGAAAATGGGCTTCGCTGTCCAAAATGGAAGTCATTGCTGCAAAAAGGAATGCGAGGTGACACGGTCGTGCAGTGTAAGAAAATAGTGAAATGAAGTTAAACCTGGAGATAGTATTCATAAGTTTCCCCATCGCGAACATACAACGTATGGAAGACACATGGACCTGACAATGAATTTGGATCCAATGACCCGCTCCGTCTGCCCCATTGACAGTTACTAGAGCCAACGTGGCTTCTACACAGTGTAGGTTCATGCCACATTGGTCGCCATTGCCACATTGGTAACGGCCTGAATTGGCACATTGCCGTGACACACATGTGGTCGTTACTTTGCCTCACATTGAGGTACTGAGAAACTAAATGGCACATTGCCCGGCACATTGCCGTACCCACATTGGGTATAGGTGAATTGTCACACATTGTGATAAATGAGTGGACTGCAAACAGGATCATGTACATCTGGACAACAGGCAGTAACGCTTGCACAACAAGTCGTGCAGAACAACGGTAACGCCCACATTGGATCGTTCAAATGCATTGTCAAAACAAAAGATTCAATGCACACATTGGCAATCAACATGACATGACGGACTTTTTCCCAGCACGGCTCAGCGACGTTTAGGTGGCTCACGGCACCCTTTGAAACAGACCCGACATTTAGCAGTCCAATCTGGAACTGTCTGCACCACAATGAAACCGGCTGATGTGAGCCGTCCACACTTCGTAGTCTTCTTTTGAAGAAGCTCGCCATTTGCGTAGACTGATCCAGAAATGTCCGCGCCGATGTCTGGGACACTATGGATAATGCCCGTCCTCCCATTCTTCACCATGACATCCAATGAAAACCTGTCTTCATGGGGTGGACGCCTGTCATCACTGACTTCCACCTCATTCTCCACGTCCGAATCAACGTCATCGCAACCTGATGTCGACGACGATGAATCCGATGAAGACAGGACCTCAATCTCAGACGCCTGCAGAACACCGTCAACCTCAATGCACTCAACCTCCTTCTTTGGTGTGATGTGCTCCCACTCATCATCTGGAACCGCAGCAACGCAAGGCTCAGTTCTTGTATCTTTCGTCAGAAAAGCCGGCGTTCCAGGCTGAAAGACTGGTGCTGGCGTGCCCGGCGCCAATGGATTGGCCCCTTTGAAGAAATCAGCTCGAGGTTGATCCGGTTCGAATTCACCCTCTCTAATAAGAGTGAGGACCCGCTGCAGGGCCTTCACCGGGGCCACAGCAAGGTCCCGAGCATAGATGGAGTCTGAGTCCTGCAAACTTGATGAATGCCTGCCGAGTAATCTGCGCTGATCTCGGGGTAGTTCAGCTTTTGCTGCCCAAGACAAACATGTCGTCTTGAGCGAGTGAGACGTGACGTCTCGGTCCTCAATCTGCAAAAGACACCGGATCACCGATGTCGTCTCTGAGCATGTAAGAGGCCGGCGCAACCAGGCCCCCTCCCGGCTAAGGTCTGGGGCTGGTTGAATTGCACAGTCAAAAACTCCGGCAACCCTCAATCCAGCTTGCCTGCGAAGTTTCAGCCACGTTGATAACCAATCATCGTGGACTACTGCTGTCGACGATGCTAGGATTGGCAAGAGAAGACTTTTCTTCTCAGCACTCTTGGCCGCCTTGTGATACCTCGTCGAAATCTGTATGAAGTCAGGGGCACCAGATGAGGATGCCTTCGCACTCACATCATGGAGAACTTCATGAACATGGGCCAGGTCGCTCGTCCGACTCCGGGTGTACAGCATCATAAGAAGGTGTGATGCTAATACCCTCTGCTGCAAACTTGCTGACTGGTCAGTAGTCACGGCATGCAACTTTCTGACCTCGGCGACGGTCAATGGCCTTGCCTGCTTTGTCGCTGACTTCATGGCCAACTGTAACTCTGCAGATCCAATAATTCTCCTGCTGTTGATGCACGCCTCTGCTCCATCAATCTGAAGTATGTAATGCCCAAAACGCAGTGCCTGAACAAATGATGTTGCCTTTGTGGGGGCTGCATTTGAGGTCCTCAAGTGCTGGATGTACTCCCAAGCCACGTTCTCACACATGGGCAGGAATTCAAGTTCAAACTGCGTGCAAAACCATCTGTAAAAATGAAGCAACGCATTGACCCTCTTAATGACTGTCCCGGGGCTGCGTGTTCCCAGGATTGCCAGCAAGACGTCACTCCTGCCCTGCTCAGTTGCCTCGCTCATCAGTTGTCGTCCGACACCACTGAACTCAAGTTCAATCTCCAACAGGCACTTCAACTTTGCGATCGCCTTGTCAGTCTGGACCGCACGCTCATCCATGAACGATCTGTCAACCCTGTTCTTTATGCATTTCGAAACTGCAAATACCAACGGCTCTTTTGGTTGCACCTCGACACCTGGGAAAACATCTACAATGGGATCCAAAAGCTGGGCATTCCAATTTGCTGGCATGCTCAATGACGGTGCCGCAAGAGGATCACCAAAGATTGGTGCCAACCATGATTGTTCCCAGGGCAACACAATTGTTGAGGGTTTCATACCAGTTAGAAAAGCATTGGTGACAGACGTAGTGTGGTCCCTATCCGTTGCAGCTGACAATGGCGGCTCTGAAACCTGTTGCTGATTCTGTGCAAGAAAATCTGAACTGACCAAACTTGGAGATGGTACAATTTCATCTTCTTCGACTCTTCTTTTCTTGGCCCACCGTAACCTGAATGCTTTTAAAGGATCTGAGTCACCCTCGGGCTCACCAGCATCGAATGCTGCAAACAGGTCCGTGGCCTCGTCGACGTCGGCAACCAAGTCTGTGGACAAGAATTCATCCATGGCATCAAAGAAAACCCCCCGACGTGAAAAATTTCCACAAAGAAAGAAACATGTAACATGCTAAAGTTGCGACCATTGTCATTGACATTGTTTCACATTGAAAAGTTTGACATTCAAACCTGTGAGCCAGAGCTCGGTTGATTCACCGCA